TAAGGTATATGTGGTTTTTTTTTGTTTTCTACAAACTATCTCCCCCCACCCCCCACATACCCATTGTCCAGTTTATTCAATAGTAATAAGTAACTCTTTAGGAAGACAGCTATTGATTTACAGTACTCTAAAACCAACCCTGAAAACAGATAATCTCATTACTTTACTACAACTTCAGTGCTGTTGTTGACCAAAAAAAAAAAAAAAAAAAAAAACTCACTGCCATCGAGTTGATTGTGACTCACTGCAACCCCCATTGGGTTTCCAGGGCTGTAAAAAAAAAAAAAAAAAAGTTACCTTAAGGCTCAAGGGAAAGTAATTTATTGGATTCTGAATGCAGCATTGTTTACTCTCCCATCCATTGGAAGCTAGCAAAATGCATTCTGGATCAATAATACAAACTTTCTAACATTAGCAAAGATTTCCATTCTTTTTACATGAAGTTAGAACAATATTAAGAAACAGATTATCTAGAGGAGCCTGAGAAACCATGAGCCACGTCACACAAAGATTCCATGTATTTTATGATCAAAAAGTGCTTTATCTTTGAGAAACATACCAGGGTTAAAATGGAAATATACAATGTAAAATCACTTGACACATTTTCAAGTGCAGTACAAACTGAAAAAGGAGCAAAAAGATAAAGGCTCTGCTCTCTGAACAGGCCTTAAGCATGGGACTTTTAGAGTTTACTAAATTAAAATTGTTTTAAGAATTAACAGTGGGATTTTAAATCCACTATATTCTAAAACCTGAGATTGGACATCAAAGCAGTCAACTGTTATACATCAGAACAGTTGTGATACATCCTAAAAATAGAAGACACCTCAACTGAATTAATACTTACAGGGTCAAAAGCATTAACGTTCCCCAATTATAAAGGAGACTTACCACACATACATTAGATACTAAGAGTGCTGCAGAATTATGACTCTCAGCAAATGAGTCATTTTTACATAAGCAAAAAAGTCACTTTCCCCCTTTCTCACTGATCAAGGCCACACTATTTTCAAATGAATATCTACTGAGAGATCAGTTGTGCATTGGACAAAGTACCATAATTGGGTTAGAAATGAAACAAAATTTACAGTGAAGAATACTTATGTGTATGACTTACACACTCAAGCTTCTCCTTAATTTCATCTACCTCAAGAGCAAGGTAGATGAAAATAGTCACCTTTGAATACCTTGTGTAGATTACATTCTACACCTCTGTAAAGACAGGAAATGTCCTTAGCAATTATAGTGCCTGAAATGTGCAGCCATTTACAGACCACTCAATATGAGGGCTTTTTATAACCAGCCTCCTTTGCCCATAACCCTGCATTTTCAGATAAGACAGGATACTTGTTTTAACATTTTGAGAGAACAGAAGCCTGAATCTCTTAAAAAGACCTGTAATTTATAGCAAATTGATACAGAGTTAACAAGGTAAGCAGGTTAATGGCTGCCTGCACCTACAGCCTCTCAATCATTTTGCAGTAAATTATGGAAAGTGACTTGACAAGTAGCCATGTGTATATTACAGCTACAGTCATTTATACCATCTACATGCCTCAATTATTTACATAGGGTGTCTGGTTTTTAGTTTGGTTTTCACTTTGATTTTTGGTGCTGTATACAGATTTACATTTTGTTTTGTGCAGCAGATGCACTGAGGTTTGTTGACCAGAACTGCCACAGTTCCACTTGCTGAAGGATAATTAGGGACAATAGAAACCAGAAAGGAGTATTAGGATCTCTTTACAAATTTCTGCTCTTTTGCTTCTGTTGTTAAAATGTGACCTCTTGCTTCTGTAACTGTGGTAGTTTGAGAAACAAATCTTCCACCAATTATTTGAAATTTTGGTTCCACCTTTTTAGGAATATGACTATTCTGAACATGTGATTAGCTGGGACGTTTGCCAAAGTTAAGAAACAAACCAATAAGATTGTTTTCCATAGTCTGTTCTATACCATTATTTGGACTTAACAAAGACCTTTTACTTTTAATAAAATATTTATGAATGAATTCTGAAGCATGGCCTGTTAATACCACCCAGTTTAACAAACTACACTATGCTTTTCCCAAATTTAGTCTCAGTACTTTGCAGATTTCTATTGTCCCTAGTGATTGTAATGAGGGTCAGTAAAATGCTACAATTAACCCACATCCTCTGCAATCTTCCTGCAGTGGGAAGAGAGGACATGTACTGCAGGAGAAACTAAATATTCAAGATTGGTTAAGACTTAAAAATCCACCACTATGACATTTACCACTTAATCCTACATAGGCAGGTCAAAATTTTAATATAAATTACTTTTTCCAACACATAGCTTATGCATTCTTTGCTCCTTTTTTTGGAGGATTATCAAATTGATATCTAAAAATTTACATATGATATACTACTGCTATATGGTCTAATGACTAAGAAAATTTCTCTGGTAACCTAAGCTGATGCCATATATGGGAGTGTTCTTGGCATATACTCTATATGTCTCAGACCACTTCCACATTCTTTCAATTCAGCTAATTATAGCTTAGTAGCCACTGTTGAAAGGATTGTGAAGACCCTGTAATTTCTACTGAATAGAAAAGGCAAGGCTAGTTACTGCAATTCAGCCAAACAATAAGAAAACAGAATAAACCAACTCCTTGAAAAGGAGAGGTACTTCACCTTTGCAAAGTTAACTGGTTCACTGCAGCTGAGCAACAGCACCACCACTGAAGCAAGAAAACAAGAGGTCATACAGGAATTGTACATGGTTTGAAAATGAGAAAGTTACAGCAATCAACTAACAGCTGCAACCTTAATTTTCATTGCTGCCTCAAATTTTTGACATAATTCTACAAACCTAATGCTAGTTTTGCAGTTCTTTTTAAAACTATATATAGGGATTTGTTCTCCGCAGCAAAGAAATAAACACTCAAAACAAAACAGGTAAATACAGCAGGACATTATTGAAAACAGCTGCCTTGTAGTACAAAATACAGTACAAGTATACGGATATAATTAAAACATCAAAAATACTATTGCTCCCAAACAATTTAGGAAACCTTCTTTGCAACGGAGAAATTTTTTTTTTTTTTTTTTTTTTTTTAAAAAGCTTAAAAAAATGTTTAAAAAGTTTATTTTGGACAATGAGTAGAGAAAGTCTGAAAAGGGCACCAACAGTTGTGGCTTTTTTTTTAAATCTAAAATTGACAATATTCTGGATCATAGTCTAATTTTTTAAAAAGCCTAATTTTATATACACTATTAGTTCCCTCAGCCACAACTGCACTAAAATGGCCTTTTTGTATATTATTTATTTCCCAATAAATACAAAGATTGTATAGATCAAATACTAGTAAAATAACATAATAAGAGTATGCAATAAATTAAAAAGGCAGCTCAAATAAAGGGCAGGCATGCAGTTAAAAAAAGATTAAGGAGGTGTGGTTACTTGCCTCCTGGGTGAGAAGGTGTCGCACAAGTAGTAATACCTGAAAATTTTGGAAAGAACATTAGATCCCATTCAGTTCAGTTACCTAGGTATGTATTTCTAGGAAATCTCTTTTGATGGGGGTGGGATTAACTTGATTAGTATAAATCATCTCTACTGAGAATCCATTTAAAATATAGAGGTGGTGATCCTTGAAAACCCCAACTTTTATTCTTGAATGACAGCTGGATAAACTGGCAAACGCGTTTATTTAAATTCCAAGATGGTATAAAAATGCTTCCAGGAGTAGAGTCAACATATTCATGTTCATGTTAGCTCCATTTAGTGATGGATTTCAGCTTCCATCAGATGCGTTGCTTTGAATCATCCACCCATCATTTGCCAACTTTGTGAGGTACTGATACAATGGATCAAGTTCTTAAAAATTTTAAGAGTAAATGATGTTGGAATACTGGACCTGAGGCTCTTTAGTATTTGAACAAATCCACAGATTAAACTGAAGATAAAATGAAGACTTCAGTTTTGGTTATTTCCAACTCCTTTTTAGGCCATATATTCTATTAAAGCTCAGGCTTCTAGCCACACTGTTACCTTCATAGACATCTACAAGTCTTACTGTTTAAAATCCAGCCAACCAGAGGCTGAAAAAGCCAAATTGTAATTCACTGGCTCCATAGGGATCTGGCTCTCATTCATACCCAAGCCATTTCTTCATAATGACCATTATTTGGAGATCAGGGGAAGAACTTTATTGAGCAGCAACCAATCCATTGTTTTTCTTGTGCTCTGTGCCTGGATTTTTTCTTGTGCCTATCTCAGCAACCTCCAATGTTTTTATCTTCAAAATGTTTCGTTAACTTTTGAACTACTTTAGTTCAGGCATTGGTATCTGAATTCATTTGCATCTGGAAAACAATTCTGCAAAGAAAAGACATGGGCTTTGGTCCAAGTTCCATCCAAAACCATTTTTTGAAAAAATGAATCCAATTTGTTTTTGCATCCACCAATGTTAAACTATTTTGCCCTGCCCATGATTAAAGTTGTGTTCCTTTTAATAAAACCTGTACTCTCAGAACTGGGTAATTGCAAAGGTTTCTTTTTTCTCAATAATGCCATGAAGAGCTAGATCAAAAATGCTGATTTCAATGGAAGAGATAGACACTAACAATTAAGGTCTGAACAGGTTTTTTTGACCAGATTACCCAGGTACCACACATATTCGACTCGGTATGGGGAACTCCAATGTTTGCTGGCCCATGATGTGTGCGGACCTACCCTCCAGGATTATCCCTGGTGGGTTTTGGGGAAAAAACAGAAGCTGAGACTATTTTGTTAAGGTGAAGAGATTGGTGGTGTCCTCGTCTGAAGGTTGCTGTCAGTCCCTGGGAACTTTACTGTTTTCTTTGTTCTCTCATGGTTATTTCTCTTAATTAGCTATATTATTTTATTTTCTCCCTTTGGGGCCTCCCATGCTCCTCTTCCACTATCTCATTAGGAGTGGAGCAGGAAAAAGAGCTCTCTAGACAAGGGAATACTGGTGTGGTGAGGGAGGCCTGTAGGGAAAGCTGCCTGTTTCAGTCCTCATCCACCTCCTCGCCCTCAGACTCATCTCCACCGCCGCCACCCCCACCACGTCTTTCATAAAGCTTATCCCTCTGTCGCTCCTGGATTTCCTTCATCTCATCCGCATACCGGCAAAAGGCGCCGCCAAACTTGCCCCAGGCCTTGAAGGGGACAGTGATGGCATTGCGGTAGGACGGCTTTACCTCACTTACTCGCAGAAACACCCCGTACTTGTTGCAGCCCACGTCGAAGAAGAAGCGCTTGGAGTCCACAGTAATGGAGGTGCCTTCCGGGAGCTCCCCGTATAGGCCCCCTCCCGGTCCCCCGCCACCGCCGCCTCCAGGGCCCCCGGCCAGCTCCTCCTCCTCGCCTCCGTAGTCGTCAATGAGCTTGGCCAGCGCATCGCGGAACTCGATAAGGCCCTGAGCGGGGAGGGCGATGGTCTGACCGCTTTGTAGGCCGCCTGGCCCGGGACCCCCGCCGAACCCGCCGCTGCCCCCGAGGCGGTTGATGGTCTGACGGATACGCAGGAAGCGGCCACGCTGGTTCTCCTTGAGGTCCAGATAGTACTTGCGATTCTCCCGCACCAGGAATTCGCTCTTGAGCGCCCGCCGGGGCCCGCCGCCATCCTCGGCGCTGGCCGCTGCCGCGATCTGCTCGGGGCTGCTAGGCCCTAGCTGCGCGTAGTGTTCGATGAAGTCCCCCAGGTAGTCGCGGAACTCGGCAGCAACAGCCATGGATAAAGTGAGACGGCTTTTCGAGCCTCCAGCGCCCACCTCGGCAATCTTGAGGAAGCGGCCTTTGGCATTCTGCTTCACGTCTAGATAAAAGCGCTTGTTCTGTATGTCAAGGCGCTTGGAGGCCAGCTCATGTGTTTCCTGCTCGCCGCCGCCGCCGCCGCCGCGGGACGCGGGCTGAAAACCACAGCCGCCGGGCCCGCTGCCCCCACCACTGCCGCCTCTCTCGCTGCCGCTGTCACCGTCCGCCATCTTCTCTTCCTCCGCCTCCGCCGCTACTGCCTCAGCCGCCGCCGTGGGCCCCGCTGCTCTCCCGCCGCCGCTGCTGCTGCCCGCCGCGCTCGCGCCCCCCTCCCTCCGCCCCTGCGGCTCGCTCTCCACTCCCTCCAGCCTTCCACTCCCCCTGGCTCGCTCACGCGCACCCGCTTCTCATCGCGAGCCGCCGCCACCCCCCCATCTCTTCCTCCTCCCCCGCCCCCCGAGACTTCCGTGCGCACGCCTGGCGGCTGCTTCCGGCACGCGCTTGTCCTTCCTGTGACGTCATTCCCCCAAGCCTGTCTTTCTGAAGGCCGGAAATCACCGCTTGCTGAGGTCCATTGTAGATTGAACATGCAGGACGCAGTAGAGTGACGTCACAGACTGCTCCTGAAAGGTGGGTGGAGGAACTGTAAAGGAAGGCTGGCCTTCCTTCTGGTCGGCGGGTGGGCAGTGAATTTGGCGGGCAGGCTTAGTGAAGCCTCCTTAAAAACCTTAACAGTGATATACTTCTCCATGGTCTTATGTCCCCGTACTTTCCGTCCACCCCAATAAAATTTCAGTTTAGAGTCTTAATTCGTTCATATCTCTTCACCCATTTCTGGTGCATGCAATCAACAAGTACGATTCGTTGCTTGCCTTCTCGCCTGCAGGCTTCTGTGTGCCTGAATTACAACTCTGTCAGTTGTAAACGTATCGTATGGTGAGAAAGTCTGGGAAAGAGGACCTGGTGGAGCATCCAGAAAGGGTCTCTACCGAGCCTGTTGTAATCAGAGAAGGCTTATCACGGAGGAGACGGGAGTTGAGACTTGAAGGACAAGTCGGAGTTAGAAAGGCATACGCTGGAGAATAGCATTCCAAAGAGAGGGATCACCATGTGCTGAGACAAGAGACGACTTGATACCTTGGAGCAGTTGTACGCAGCTCTTGGCAGCTGAGATATGGTTTGTGTCTAAGGAGTGGCAATAAATGAGGCTAGACGATCAGATGGAACAAGGAAGACCATCTGTGCGAAGCAGTAAGGTTAGTATTTACTCTGGAGTCCAGAGCCATCATATTTGCATATGAGAGCTTAAAATCAGAGGCATTTGCTGTGTGTAAATAAAGCAGTCTGAAAGTGGAGCGTTAACTACATTTAAAAGTCTGGATGTTGTTAATGTGCTGTGAAGTCGACCCTGATTCGTAGTGACCTTGGGTTTCCCAGGCGGTATCTGGAAGATTGCTCAACCTTCCTTCTGAGGAGAGGCTGGTGGGTTTGAACCCCCAGCCTTCTGGTTAGCAGTCAAGTCACCTTAGGCACTCTGCTACCAGAATAATTCATGTGGAATTTGGCTGTGCTCACAGCAGTTCCTCTAACCTTGATGCTTACCATATACCCTAAAGAAGACTTTTTTTTTTTTTTTTTGTCTTTCTCTGCAGTCTGGCAGGTACAGGTTATTGTAATCTATTCCCAAAGGGTCTTTCCATTCTGGTCAAACAAATGCAAGATATGATAGCTTATACCCAAGGGTCTTGATGCACAGTATTATCGGTAACTCTTTACAACACACTACGAGAAACAGACATGCTTGAGAAAACAATTTTTTAATAGGTTTCTGAAAAATCTATTCTGCCATTGCCCTGTAACCATCCTGTAATCAACCGAAGAGCATATATGCTTGGAGTTATGTTCCCTTAACCAATCATATAATCACACCTATATGTTATCCATCTAAAACAAACAAACAAAAAAAACAAACCGTGGAGTCAGTTCTAATTCATACTGACCCCCTCTCCTTGGGTTTCCAAGGCAGTATCTCTATGAAAGTAGATTGCCCCGTCTTCCTTGCAAGGAGTGGCAGGTGGTTTTGAACCACCAGCCTTCTGGTCAGTAGTCAAATGCCTTAGGCATTACACCAGCAGAGCTCTGCTAAATCCCAATTTAGATAACCCACATTTGACTCCTCTGGTTGTCTTTCAAAGAATTCTGGTAGTTCAGTGCCTAAGGCACTTGACTGCTAACAAGAAGGCTGGCGGTTCAAACCCACGAGCCACTCTGCAGAAGCAAGACCCGGCAATCTAATTCCATACAGATTTACCACCTTGGAAACCCAACGGTAGTCGCTATCAGTCGGAATCAACTTGATGGTAGTGGGTTTTTTTTTTTTTTTTTTTGGTTGTCTTTCAGCCAATTATTTATGATTTTGTTAACTTTCAGTTCCTGCTCAAACTATACAAAAATGCTCTCTTCCTCATTGTCCAGCAGAGTAGCTATCTTCATTCTGTGAATTTGGACATCTTCCTCTCTTTCTACAGATTTATTAATAATTAAGTCTAAAATGACAATGATGTTCAATTTTAATCACTGTCACAAAACATGTCAATATGGAAAAAGATAAAAATACAATTTTTATATCTTATTTATTTAACTGTATTTTAAAATATAGTAGAATTCACTGCAGGATTGACTCACTGTGAAAAAAAGTATTGTGATAAACACACTCTTAACATTGTATAAATATGAAATTGAAGATTCAAAATGGCTTTTTAATAGGAAATTCTCAATTTAATACTCAAACACGCTGAAAGCAAACTTAATTTTGATATAGAAGACATTTCATTACCAATACTTCGTCATGAAAAATTGTTAAGAATTTTTTTAAAAGGTTGATTGTTATTTAATATGATGTTATTTTTTACCTTATGGTCCCCTCTATTGTTTGGCTGAATGTTGAGCAGCTCTGGTGAGGTCAGTTCCAGGCTTAAAGGGTGTCTGAGTGCCATAATCTGGAGGATTCTTCCAGCTATCAAACCAGTAAGCCAGACCTTTTATTATTTTTTTTTAATTTTATTTTGAGTTTTGTTCCACATTTTTCTCCCACTCTAAGCAGGATCTCCTGTTGTGATCCCTTTCAGAGTTGTCAGTAGTGGTAGCCTACACCATCTATTTCTTCTGATCTCAGAGTTGTAGAGACTAGGGTTCAAACAGTACGTTAGTCTCTTGGACTAATTGTTTCTCTGTCTCTTTGATTTTTTTTTCATTGTTCTTTACTTTGGGTAGGGAGAGACCAATACTTGCACCTTAGATTGCTCACAGCTTTTAAGACCCCAATCGCTATTCACCAAAGTAGGATGTAGAACATTGTCTTTGTGGACTATGGAATGCCAATTGACCTTGAGGTCCCCGAGACTATGGTCCTGAGCCCTCAGGCACAGCGACTCATTCCCTCAAAGTTTTTGGTTACAGCTAGGAAGTTTTCATATGGCCATCCAATAGAATGTGGAAATTATCAAACAATATCACTAATAATGATATCATTAATAATAATATCATAATATGATACACAAGTAATATTTCGCCAAAGATAATTAAAAAATGATTGCAACCATATATTGACAGAGAACTTCCAGAAATGCAAGCAGGATTCAGAAGAGGGCATGGAATGAGGGATATCATTGCTGATGTCAGATGGATCTTGGCTGAAAGCAAAGAATACCAGAAAAGATGTTTACTTGTGTTTTGTTGACTATGCAAAAGCATTAGATTGAGTGGATCATAACAAATTATGGATAACATTGAGAAGAATGGGAATTCCAGAACACTTAATTGTGCTCATGATGAACCTGTACATAGACCAGGAGACTGTTGTTCAAACAGAATAAGGGGGTACTGCATGATTTAATCAGGAAGGGAGTGCATCAGGGTTGTATCCTTTCACCATACTTATTTAATCTGTATGCTGAGCAAATAATCTGAGAAGCTGGACTATATGAAGAAGAATGCGGCATTAGGATCAGAGAAAGGCTCATTAACAACCTTGGGAATAGATTACAATATTCTGTACCTGCCAGACCACAGTCAACCTCAGGCACTTGACTGCTAACCAGAAGGCTGGTGGTTCAGATCCTCAAAACTGGAGCAATAAGCAGCATTATGATAAATGGAGAAAAGATTGAAGTTGTCAAGGATTTCATTTTACTTGGATCCATAGTCAACACTAATGGAAGCAGCAATCAAGAAATCAGACATCATTTGCACTGGACAAATCTGCAGTAAATGACCTCAAATCTGCTGCAAAAGTGTTGAAGAGCAAAGATGTCATTTCAAAGACTAAGATGCACCTAACCCAAGCCATGGTATTTTCAATCACCCCATGCATGTGAAAGCTGGACAATGAATAAGTAAAACCAAAGGAGAGTTGATGACTTTGAGTTGTGGTGTTAGTGAAGAATGCTGAAGATAGCATAGACTGCCGGAAGAATGAACAAATCTGTCCTGGGAGAAGTACAGCTGGAATGCTCCTTTGAAGTGAAAATGGCCAGACTTCACCTCACCTACTTTGGTCATTTTGTCAGAAAGGACTATTCACTGGAGAAGGTATCATGCTAGGTAAAATGGAGAGTTGGTGAAAATGGGGAATACCCTCAACAAGATGGATTGACACTTGGCTGTAAGGATGGGCTCAAGCATAGCAAGGATTATGAGGATGGTGCAGGACTAGGCAGTGTTTTATTCTCTTGTACATAGGGTCACTATAAGTCAGAGACAGCTTGACAGCACCTAACAACAATAAGTTTTCATAGCTTTGCACCATATATGCTTTATTGTATTCATGCCTATATTTGCAGCATATGTAATTACATAAATAAGAAAATCTGTCAAACTTACATCTATATTTGTGGGTGTAGTTTCATACTCCATCTCACACCTGTTCAGCTTGCATGTCTCTCTATTTATGCATTCATAGATTATTACTATTACTGTAATTGCAAGATTGTGTTTCCCAATGTCTTCCTTTGCATTGATCGTTTTATTGCTCATCTTGTCTTTATTGTATATTGCCTTCACCTGCACCCAGGGTAGTATGTTTCTACCCTCTAGTTAATGGTTTGCCCTCCTTTTCCCTTCCACCCCTAGTAACCATCAAAGAATGTTCCTTTTTGTGTGAAAACCTTTCCTTGACTTTTTTTTTTTTTAACTACTAAAACATTTTTTTTTTCATTGTGATTTGGGTGAA